TGTCCGCTACAGGGCATTCCACCCTAGGCTGTTTCTGCCTCACGAACTATGTCCCATAATCCTTTGCCCAGTATCATCAGCGCTCATTGTTTGCATCTGTCTCTCGTTAGCCCTGTTAGCTCACCCTATAAAAGCCTGGTTCTCTGTTATTCTTTAAGTCTTGTATGTGTCAGTACTACATTTCTAAGCCTCGTTTCCTGGTTCTCTCTTGTCTTGGTCCCTGGTTTTATTTCGCTGCCTGTTTTGGATTAACCTTTTGCCTGGGTTTTTTTTTTTATTTTTTGCTCTTGTTATTGTTTGGACTGATTGCCCGTGTTATCACCTTTGCCTGTTTTTGGATTTTGTGGACTACCCTTTAATAGATTCTTCATCTGGATCCTCAACCTTTGTGTACCTGTGCATTTTAACGATATTGGCAATAAAGGTTGGTTTTTATTATTTTATATATATTTTTTTGTAATATCCTAAAACTTTTAGTTCCTGGTCTCAAAGTAATGTAAAACATAGGCAGTGTGTAAAAGTATTAGGTGTGTATATAGTATTTTATAGTCCGTCTTTATTTCCAGGTTTGAATACATAAAGATTTTTTTTTTTTTTAATGCACTGTAGTTTCAGACTGTTGGACCTCCCTATACAGTGGCAGAGTATGTGAATTAGTTATTTTCAGTGTCTTTGTTTGTGTAGTGCGTATGGATATTTCATTAAATGAATTTGTCTGAGGTTCAGTTAATAATAATGTCTGTTGCGGGCTGCATGTATGGTCTGAAAACTTACTATTTTAGCTGATATTCTCAGAAACAAAGTGTGCGTCCTCGAGATAACAAGAGGAAATAGAACACAAGTAGAGGTAGTTTCAGAGGCATTAGACGTAACTCAAGCATGTGTGTAGAATGTGTCACTGATGGGAGCTTTTTACATTTAGAAGGGTGCCACAGGCAGCAGTTCCATGTTTACAGGACTTACGGAGAGATTATTCTATGGAGAAAACTTGGAGAATATGTCAAAAGAGACTGCCCAAATCATATTGGTTGGGTGAAAACAATCTGCCTCAAAGCTATAAAAAAAAAAACAATTGTTCTTCCTAACATTTAACACTACAGGTGTGGTGGAGAATGCGGGACATGACAAAACTTATTAACAGTGAAACTCAAAAGCTTGCAATGCTCCACTTTGGGAGTTGTACTTCACAGGACCAGATAAAATGAAAACAAAGCAGGAACTTAAAAGTCTTATGCTCTAGAAAACCTTAAGATGATTTAAGAAGTCGTTCTCATTCTGAAAAAGTTGGATGTTTTGATTTCTAAGAGTCACAGGAACTGGTATGTACAGTTAGCTGCTCATTACTTCTAAATAAAGAGTATTCATGTTGAAGAGACTTATTTTCTGATAACTGTCTGACTGTACATTATCCCAACTATTACATGACTACTTCAAGGAAATAGTTTCATTAGCTTACTTAAAGCGCAGAAAGACTGAACATGACCACAGCTATGAAGGAAACAGTCTTCTTGGATAAGCGGTCAGTTGCCATAGGCAACAGTCATTGTTCTGAAATATCTGACCAATAAATCTCTCAACCAATCAGAATGAAGTATTACGGATGACCATAAAAGCAATTA